TTTTCCTCTCCCATTAGTGTCGCTTTTATCGCCTGGGGCACTACAAGTACTGCACCTTTTTGCAAAGAATGAAAAAAAAAAAAAAAAAAAATTTGCTGTAACCCCCCCTCCGAAACCCCATTTTATGCATCCAATTTGTCAGAACTGGTCATTATTTATGACGTCAGAAATGTGACGTCATCCCCTAGAACTATATATATTATACAGACTAGTGTGAAACATCGCATTTTGTAAATGACTGCATTACCAAATATCGAATATATAATTAATCATTTAAAAAACCCTAGTGCTACGTATCACAAAAAAATTGTTGACGAGTTTGTGTCAAGTTGGTGTGCCCTTTTAGATTACAACAATATATATTCGTGGGGATTACAGGTAACTATGAATTTATAAATTATTACCTATTTACGCGTTTGTATTCCAATTTAGATTCCGGGTCCGATTAATACCAATCAATATAAAAATTATCACCACATCCCAACAGGTCACCGTTCAATTGAAGAATGTTTCCTTTCTGAAATTGACCGTTTTAGAAATACGTATAATCGCTGGGACATTATACGATTTTTAAAGGCGCGTAATTCCGAACAATTATATCGCATTTTTCATAATTCCATTTCCTGCATTTATTGTATCTCAAGTACGTCTTTACTTTTACACGACAAAGAACGTCGATTATCGGAGCTTTTAAGTGTAAATTGTCAAAATTATCCGGTTAGGTTTCGATCTAACCGCCCTTTTAAAAGTTTTCTAAATTAAATTTTGTTTTTTTTTCTTTGCTTCAGAAATGCAAACATTAAAGGAATTATGTATGCAAACATTAAAGGAATTATGTTTGGGAAAGTTTTCAAAATTTGAGAAGAGGTGGCAACGACGAATGCCACCTACTCTCAAGCCGTTACGTCGCCCTCGGACACTGTCCTTAATACTTCGCCGTAACATTCTTCAAATGAATTAATGTCCTCCTCCTCTTCCTTCAACATTTACACTCCAAGCCAATGTAGTAGAGGGGGTAACTACTTATATTAGCTCACGTACCATAGGTAAAGTTTAATAACACGTTGTCTCTCGCACGAATAATCATGTGTTTCGACAATGTATCGCCTGACTACGCGTGTTATGATAAACGATTGCTAACTTATAATAATTGGAGCGGAATTCCATCACCCACATCTTTGGCAAGTGTAGGATTTTTCTTTACGAAATATGGTGACGAAGTAGAATGTTTTCATTGTAAAGTGCGACTTAACAAATGGGAACGTCAAGATAATCCCCTACGGGAGCACCTCCGATGGTCAACCAACTGCGTCTTTGCGAAAATCCTTCAGAACAAATCTAACAATACGCCTCCACCCAATACAGATGTGTGTGGTATATATACTACACAAGGATGAAATTTCCACAAATATTTTTTTGTATTGTCGTTTATAATTATAAATTGCTCTTAATTATTGTAATGACTGACAACAACATCTAATAAATGATTAATTTACTTTTGGTATTTTTTTCTTTTGGTAGTAACCAGGGATACATTTTCTATGTAAGAGGAGTAATGATTGTGACCTTGATCTAAATGAGGAGGAGGAGCTTTCAGAACTGGAGGGGGGAACGGGGTAATCTGACCTTGACCTAAATGAGGAGGAGGCCTCAGAACTGGAGGGGGGAACGGGGTAATCTGACCTTGACCTAAATGAGGAGGAGGCCCCAGAACTCTCCAACTATACCTACTGAAACAGAACCATTTCTTGGTTTCTGCAATTGCGGTAAACAGGGGCGTTCCAACCCGAGGGTGCAAGGAGTGCGTCGCACACGGGCGGCAATTCAAGGGGGCGGAAAATGTATAAATAAAATGCCTAAACAAACTGTTCTTTTAAAGCTAAAAAACAATCCGTTTGCACCGCGTAACATCGTCAGATGCGCGTCTCACTCTGTATTACATTACAATTTGCAAATCAGCATTTACTTAATGAAAGGAGTTTTTCGAAATTGAAATTAATAAAAAATCATTTAAGATCCACCATGGGCCAAGTAAGACTCTCCGACTTGTCCATCATAAGTATTGAAAATGAAATTTGTGAAAGCCTAAATGTTACTGACCTTGTGGCTGAGTTTGCGGCAAAAAAAGCCAGAAAGGTCCAGTTTTCATAACGTTTATAAAATCATATTGTATCCATAATGTTCTGTTAGTTCCTAGTTCTAAACCTTGTTTTTTGCGTGTGTTGTTTATTTATAGGTAGAATAAAAATGTATAATGTACGCATCAAAATCTAAAAATTGTTTTAGTTATGGTAGGTATACATTATCCGATTTTAGCAGGAGGAAGGGGGCGGCAAAATCAAACCGGCACGCCGGCGACACGAACCCTAGGAACGCCCCTGGCGGTAAATGTAGTACTCAGAGGATTTTTCCTAATAAAGTTATAACTATAGTTTTGTTTAATGGTATGGTAAAATATTACACTACTCATTTGTCATATTAACCATACCTACTTGTCATTTTATATATCAATTTGGTTACGATGTTGTTTACAAGCGAACTTTTTAACAATTTAAGGACGATTATACCACCTGCAACCGATAAAATTAATAACTATGCAACGTGCTACAACGCTAAGCTTTACAGGAAAATGATTCCGTTCTTACAAATCTTTACAAGTCATACTATCGTTGTCTAACAATGAATGCACTCTTAGTTAACTGCACGAAATCCAAACAACAAATAATATCAACTACAGCGTGATCCTTTGGTCGGTCTACATAGATTGAAATTTGCCCCTAGAAGGTATCGCTGCTTAAGATTGACGACGATCGTATGTACAATTTGATCATAAGTAAGTAGTGGTGTAGGGAAGGCTTGCTATTCCTCAACGGTCTTTCCGGTGTAACGATCCTAGAGGTTCCGAACCCAGCACTGCAATCGTGACCTATCCTATTCATACAGTTGGCAATTTTGGGGAAAAACTACGAACAGAGACAGTCGAAACGATGCACTTTCGCGGCAAATTTGAATCTCGGCAGCAGTCAGCTCGAACTGGATGGCACGAATGAACAAATAAAATACCTACTTGTAGAGCGCCAACAAATCTACGATCACTTTAAGCAAAACAACTCGTAAAATGATAAAATCTCATGTTAAAAAGGAGCACATCAAAAGCATAGTTGAACTCCGGCATCGACGTCAATTAACTTAACACGAAAAGGACAGAGAGAATGGTATGTTAACGTCCATTATCGCCCATGTAAGTCATATAAATATAGAAGAAATGTTAATTAGAGGACTCCTTTCTCGTATATGCTAAGACACGAGAGCTGCAGTCCGTACGAGATGATGGTGCAACACATGCAGCTGAACATCGAACTGCATGCGGTACTCCCTCCAAGAAATAGTTAAATCAAAACGTACAGCACCACAACGCGCCGATAATCCGGCAGTTTTTCTTCCCCGCTTTTATGCATTTCATTAAAGTTTTACTGTCAATCAAATCAAAAACTAGGGCTCGCGAGCAGGTGCGCATCGTGCTTCCTACTCGAGCTAAAAGGAGAAAGCTGCGAGTTGGTTTTTTTTGTCGACCGCGGTAGAATTCTTGTAGCATGCAATGTACGAGTATGCGTTTGATTCGCAAATATAGGTAAATGTATCCTTTACTTTCTTTTGTAATTACTGCAATTAGGAGTAGTGGTTCGTCTTATTAGCTTGTCGATTTGTTTTTATAAATTTGAATCTGTAGGCCCTATAAAACGTAGGAAAATTCCTTTAGCTTAATTAATTAATAGTCTGTTTTGATTTTAGGGTTAGATTTATCATTTGGTAACGTTGGGCTACGTCGTAGCCCAGTAAAATTACATAAATAAAGGCCAATCGAAGGAAAAAAATTCCGGAGTTTTACAAATTGGTACAGTTGTTCCTTAGTGTCTAAATTTCAAGAAAATAAAAAGTCCTTATAGGCGGGAGGTGAACTCGAGAAAAGGGAGCCATTTATAGGGGTCCATTTTTAGTTTATAGGGGAATTTTTCGAAAGAAAAGAAATTCCCCTTATGTGATGGTTTTGTCCGTCTGTCCGTCTAACTCGAGAACGAAAAGAGACAACGATGTCAAACCTTCGCAAATCGATTTCTACGAGTTCAAGGATCAGTGCTGTTGAATATGAGCTCGTTTTCTAAACTTGAACTCGTGCGTTACACGCGCCACTTATGAAACCTATTGAAACTTGTACTATTTGTATGTCAATTTGTCACTCATTTAGTATAATGTATAATTTTAAATGGAATAAAGCCTAGCTTTATAAAAGGTTAAAATTAGTATTATAACAATGAGGGAAATAGAACTTCCTGATGTTGGCGTACGGGCTAAAAACTATTACAACGTGAAGTTATAAAATGCGAATCGGAAAAGAAGTGAGAAAGTACACTTCCTCGTAGGTTTTCAATAGCTCTTTTTTCTTCCTCTTAGTCAATGAAGTCCCTAGAGCTATTCTCATGCGATTAAGAGACGGCAACACTGATTCGAATTTGAATTTGATTGTTTTTTCTATTAGAGCATTTAGTTCCATTTTGTTTTGATTTTTAGTTTTGACTTGTGCAGTCGTTTGTCGGCTGGGCCTGGTCGGGTCAGTATTTCTGCAACCTTTTTGTGTATGTATTTTCAAAATTGTTTTTCGGCGCTCACTCATCGACCAACTAACGGCTTAGTTAGATTGAGTTGATATGCAATAACTTTGGTTGGTTCAGTTGCATAAATAAACCAATTACAGAATTTGTATGCTTCACACTTGAGTACAGTTAGAAACTATATAATATAATAGTTATAAACTACAGAAGTTGTTTTTACACAAGTTAGTGATTATAAAAACAACCTCTAGTCAAATTTAAATTAATGATCATTAATTAGCTAATTAATAAATTCATTAATTCCCTATAGCAACAATTATAAAATGAAAATTTTTCATATGATATAACCTCGGTACAACGCTAGATGTAAATTTGTTTGCGTTAAACGTACGCACGTATAGATACTGAGTGATTAAGTAATTTCATACAATGGAGATTATTTTAAAAGGTATGTACCCTAGTATGTACCTAATTTTTAGTGCACTTTCACTTTCAAAAAATAAAAAGTGAACTTTTATTGAAAAACACTACGGGGTACACATGCAAATTTTACTGACACACACTCACCCCTGACTAATTTTCTTCGGTCACGCTTCTAACTTAACGCTTTCTTGACTTAGTATTTAAACTTTTTAACCGTACTATTACCAGCATTACCAGTTGACAAGTTATGGGTGTGCGTATAATAGTCTATCTCTGTAATTCCTTTCTACTTTCTCAAACCGTACCTTCAAAATAGTGCTAATTAATTTTAGCTGTCACCTTTACTCGCGGTACCACGACCTGATTACGAGCAAATCTGAATCATCCGTTTGGTTATGTAAAAGTTATTAATTTCGCGTTATCTTGCGCCAGACAGACGCCCACTACTTCCTATACAAGTAATCGGTCACGACTACATCCGGCCACAACACAGAGAGCGACAAATTCATTAGCGAACCATTGATTTAAGAAAAACATCAGACCACGTTTTTTTGGAAAAAACTTGCCATGTACATAATGAAACCACCCTGTATACCTCGTAATACTCAATACTAACAGACCGCGCAACTCTAAAGAAGTCCCTAGAGAAGAACTCTACTCGTATAATCTGAGGAAATCCCCATTGCAGCCGTTCCAACCACAAAAATCTAACAAAAACACGCCTACTCTCCAATCCTCACTCCAAGGTCCATTCCAAAGTTTTTCAATGTGGTGCAAGGGTTTTCGAAACGTTTAAAGGTACTCCAAAACGCTCAACGCACCTTCATAGCCCTTCAAAAACGTTCAAATGTTTAAAAACTGGTCAAGTTTATTTTAATACGAGACTGTTGAAAATCTTTGATGACGTCAATGCACTTAACGGCTCTTCGAAGGTCACCAAATTTTTGCAAAGTCCATTAAGGATCTTCAAGAGTTATCATGACTCTTCCAAAACCTTCAAGATTCGAATCAGGTTATTTTCCGGATAATTGAGGTTTCAATACCTTTCAAGATTCTTCGAAACCATTCAGAACTCTCTACAAAATTGTTCAAAGTAGGTACCTCAAGAATTTTCTGTGGCAATTTTTAAGGATCGAGATTCTGTAAAACATTTACATGCCATTTTATATCGTTTCATGACTTCAGAATCCTTCAGAACCTTATAGTGCTCTACGAACCCTTCAATACTTTTTACAATATTTTCCTAGACGTTCCGAAAACCCTTCAAGATCTTCAAATCTCTCATATCCTTCAAACCCTGAAACTCCCTTCATGGTCCTTTCAAGACTCTTCACTCTCCAACATGTTTATGGTTTTCCCGCAAGATTTTCCAAGTCCCTTCTTCAAAATTCGTAAATTTTCTACACTGTTCGCTACTCACAAATGGCACAAATACCTTTCAAAACGCTTCAACGCCAAACAATTAAATACTCTTTACGGCTATTAAAGATATTAAAACGTCTGAAAGTTCTTTAAGATTCTTTAATATACCTCTAGACCCTTCTGGGCAGTTCAAACAAGGCTTCATCCTCTTCAAAATCCTTTACATGGTTCAAAACCTTTCATGTCCGTTAGTTATGAACCGAGTTGCATGAAATTCAAACTGGACATAGCCAATACCATGTCAAATGCAATGTCACCGCTTCGTTGTCCATCTCCACTACTGTTCAAAATTGTTCAACTCAATTCAAAACCTGTCTCGTCGTGTCCAAAACACTTTAAGATTCTGCAAACCCTTATAACTTATTTTCAGGATCTATCAAACCCCAATTTTGGCATTGCCTATCATGTGGTGTCGGCTATCCATTTTGAAAACTCGTGCAATTCGTTGCATAACTAACGAAGACGTCAAAATGGCACTGCTTATTTTTTGGCCGATTTTGCCAATTCACAAACTTCTCTCTACAAATTTGATAAAGAATCTATCTGCAGAATTACATCGTAATTGCTGTTCTCTTTTAAATGGCTGGACGTGAAAAAATCCAGTGAGCCAGCGATTTAGGAGAAAGCATAATAGTCTCGTTTAAACAACTCGACGCTAAAAAAGTATAAAAGGTGTGACCCAATCTTTTGGCATTGCGCATTATATGTTTTTTGTATCAGGAACGCCCTGTGTAATGGGTAATGACTGTTTATATAACATATCAACACAAACTAGCTACGATATATTTTTTAGAGAATACTCTATATCCCGCGCCCTTTTGTCCAAGCGCCCTTATGTCTCGTGGCCTGACGGTCGCGCCCTTTCGGCGGCACCCTACTTTCCGGCTCCGGATCTACACGCCACATGTAACAAGCCCTTTGAAAATGGGTCAAATCCATGATCCCGTAGGGTCAAACCGAGGTGCTCTGCCGCTTTTTAGATCCGCTTTAGGGGTTTATTTGTTATTTGTGTGATATCCTTGCTTGTGGTGGTAGTGAAAAAATTACGGGTGAGTAGTGACTAGTAGTGGCCTAAGAGGTCTGCTATAATTGTCGATATGATTCATTTCGTTACATGGGCAGCCGGCAAAAGTTAGGTTATGTAAACTGTAAAGCTTTTCTTACAATTGATAATATGATGGAGTATAAAAAGTTCGTGATAACTAAAAATCTGGTCATTCAAAATTAAATAAAAGTTAATGAACAAATGTATTCATGATGAAGGGATATTAAACTGGAATGAAATTTTCGATGAAACTTTACTCGTTTTATCCTCGTTTTTATCTAATTTAAAATTGAGGATTTAATATATGGCCGAGATGCGAAAAGGGCACTCTGGATACTGAATCGATTAGACTCAACTTTTGGCATTGCGTATTATATGGCTAAATTTACGCCCAAATTGAATTTCATGCAATTCGGTTCATAACTCACGGATATGTCAAAAGGGCCTTCCTTATTTTTGGGTCTACATCGCCAATTCACGAACACCTACCCAAAAATTTATTAAAGAATCCGCCTGCAAAATTTCATCGTAATCGGTCAATTCGTTTTCGAGATATCGTGCTAACGGATGGACGGACGGACAGATACCGATTCTCTTTTCTTATGAAAAATATTTATCAGTCCACCGTGACTCTCGTAATTCTGAGGGAAAACGTCTGGATGTATTTTTTTTAAACAGTAGAGCAATATACACCCCCGTCCCACTCCTCTCGCGGGAACATTTTAAATATATTTATGAACCTAATTGCAAACGTTTTTATTTAAGAGGGTATTTAAATGAAATTCGATACATAGACATTTGGAATAAAATTTGGTTTTGTGCGGTCGCAGTGCCAACTTTCTTATTTATTTTTTTTGTAATCACTTAATTTCTAACTACGAAATTTAACCAGAGATATTAGTGAGCATTTACCGGTACTACGTGTTTTATAGCGTATATGTTGTATTTTACATTTGTATTATAAATCAATACTGACTGATAGGTAAAAAATACTACTACGCAAAATTAATAACTATGCAACGTGCTACAACGCTAAGAACACTAATTTACAGGAACATTATTCCGTTCTTACAAATCTTTACAAGTCATACCATAGTCTTCTAACAATGAATGCAATGTTAGCTAACTGCACGAAATCCAGACATCTCCTCTAGACTGTCCCGTCTGGCCATTCATTCGCAACAACTTAAATGATATAATGTGGGCACGGAATGCCTTTTTAGCAGTTCGTAGATTCATACGACTACCTTTTGTTGTAAGGAAATGTTCGGACAATGAACTTTTTTATTTATCTCGGCTGCATTCAAACTGGTTTTCCGCTTGCACAATATTGGTTATTATTACTAGCGCACGAACTTGTTCAAGACAACTTAAATGGTAATGTTGACTTTTCTAACTCGACTAAAATCTACAAAATTGTACAAATAAGAACTCTGCACTCTGGTGGTACCCTCTTAATCTCCAATTCCATATTAAAGGGAAACACAACGACAACATAATATACACACCGAATCCTATTGAAACACCTGACACAAGGGGTGTGGGATACGAATACTTTAAGGCTATGGAGAGGTATCGGGAAATAATTGCCCAGGTAGAAAGTGCGATATAAGGAACTTAATGAGCTCTTTAGTGTTCATAGGTTGATGGACATACAAATAAGGAAGAAACTTACGAAAATTTCCTGAAACGCTGTGTTAGAACAGCAATCGCGATGAAAAATAGGGGAATTAAACCTGGAGATTTTGTGTCCATGTGTACAGTGAACGATATGGATGCTGGCGTAGTATATATTGCTGCGATATTTATTGGTGCGATAACGGCTAACGTTGACCCATCCATGTCAGCGGAAGAAATCGTTTTTTTCTTAAGGCAAGTTTTGCCAAAGATGGTTTTCGCCAGACAGCAAAGCGAAGGCTTAATGGAAGAAGTTGTGCGCGAGCTTGGTGGGCAGTTACCACTGGTGGTGTTTGGTGGAACGAAGAAGCACATCCCATTTACGGAGTTTTTACAACGGTACGACAATGAGAACGTTTTCAGGGTGTACGAAGCTAACAGTTTGGAGGAAACTGTTTTCGTTTCGTTTAGCAGCGGTACAACAAGCAGGCCTAAAGGTATTTGTCACACCCATTCCTCCATGAGAGTTAGATACCAGTAAGTAATAACTACAAACCTTGAATAACGTAATGAATAATTAAATTTTAGTAACAATGGGGAATCCAAAACGTATGCCGTGTTCAATCCGCCATGGCGATCTCTATTCAACAGATGGATGCACGAAACCATACTCAACGGCTTTAAGAGAATCGTATTTTATAGATTCAATATCGGAGAGCTTTGGAAAATTTCAAATTATAAAGTAGACTTCATGTTAATTTCGCCGGTATCTAGTGAGGAGTTTTTTAAGTACCAGAAACCTCAGCATTTCGACTTGGAAAATTTAAAACGGTTGTTGATTGGCGGAAACTATACATCCAAAGATTATTTACTAAAGCTCCAGAAAATGTTTTCTAAAACGATTGTTTGTCCGAGCTACGGCCAAAGTGAAATATTTAGTACTGTTGCAGCATTTCCGGAAGACCAACGGAGCGACAAGCTTCGTCGAGAGTTTCCGACGTCAATTGGCCTCGCTAAAGATGGAATTTCTTATAAAGTACGTCGCCCAACCTTTTAGCATCGAGTATGGTATTCGATAATTTAATTGAGCTGCACTTCCAGGTGGTGGATACGGAAACGGAAGAAATATTAGGGCCAAATCATCACGGTGAACTCAGATTGAAAACTAAATACCTAATGAAGGGCTACCTAAATTACGAATCACCGGACCTCTTTGATTCTGACGGTTGGTACAGAACTGGCGATTTAGCTTACTACAACGAGCAGAGATGTTTCTTTATTATCGGTAGGGTAAAAGATACATTTAAATTCGGCAACCTTCACATTTACCCCAGAGAAATAGAGGAAGTTCTTTTAAGCCATCGTTCCATTCAAAACGCGGCAGTTCTTGGTTTGAAAGATGAAATATTCGGATACCTTCCCACAGCCGTGGTTCAGTTGAACGATAAGGAGCATAGTGTAAAACCTGAAGAAATTATCAACTACGTAAACACGAGGGTTGAGGATAAAAATCGTTTAAGAGGTGGCGTGAAATTCGTCAAAGAATTTCCATGGACACATACACTAAAGATACAAAAATCTAAACTGAGGGAATGGATTGAAAGCGGTGTCATTTAGATGATAAGGTTTTTATAACGTCTGTTGTATTTTACATTTGTGTTATAAATCATTACGGGCTAATAAAAATACTGCTAAGCAAAATTAATGCAACGTGCTACAACGCTAAGATTTACAGGAAAATTATTCTGTTCTTACAAATTTTTACAAGTCATACCATCGTTCCTTCGCGGAAATAGTTAAACCACTCGTATGGAGAAACATCAAATTATTGAACCCCCTTCTCGTATATGCTAAGACATAAGAACTGCCGTCCGCAAGCAACGCATACAGCGAAGTATCGAACTGTATTGGGTACTTACTCCACGGAATAGTTTGTAAGTCGAAGCATACAGAGCAACGATTCTCAAAAGCATGGAGTACGCCTTGCTTCGATAACAAATATTTTAGGCAAAATGAAATAATAACAAATTGTGATTAAATTCAAAGAGAAAGAAAGAAATGGTTACTACCTTTTGTTCATTGGGTTACTACCTGTAAATACACCTTTCAACAAACAAAACAACAGCAATAAACGCTAGAGCCAAAGCCATTACTCCGCTCGGTTCGATTCGAATACCGTTTAACACAGGTATAGTACTGTGCCGTTAACCGACGCTAAACTTTCTCCCCTTGCTCCGTTGCGAAAAATTCCGTGACTCCCCTGGCATCTGCGCAGAAGGGTCAAATCGGAAATTTCATTGATTGTTGATACACGAACCGCTTCGTATTTTTCTCATACTGCCATTCTTCAGCTGTGAAGGGATGTTTGCTCTAACCACAGGGTAAGTTACACAGTTTTTACGTAAGTACCCCAGCATTCAATCGCGGGGTACATAGAAATGCCTTTCAATTTTCTCCTCTATCCAAAAGCTATTTGAATTAACGAATATCGATGTGTAAAATTAATTTTGTAATTGAAAAATTGTAAATTGACATGACATTAATTCTAACTGACTAACACACGCACACTTTAACTAAACTAAAATAATCTCAACACTCCCACTTTTAGTTACAAGTTGCTAAACCTAAGCCAATAAAAATCATTCTTTTGGCATAAGGCCTATCAATGTACGAAAATATTGATGCTTATTCTTCGGTAAAGCCTTCGTCATTATGTCGGCTGCCTGTTCGTCCGTTGCCACATATTTCAAATCGAAAGTTCCATCATCGTACTCCTCTCGAATAAAATAATATCGTACATCGATATGTTTTGTTCTCTTATGGAATTCCGGATTCTTAATAAGTCGAATTGCGCTTTGATTATCCATAAGAAAAATCGGTTTGTCCAAAACGACCGGCAATAGTTCGGATAACAATCGATACAACCATATCAATTCCTTTATCGCATACGCCGCCGCCATGTACTCGGATTCAGTTGTTGACAGCGCCACTGATTTTTGACGCTCCGAACCCCAACTAATAATACTGTTACCAAGCATAAAAACATACCCAGATGTAGATCGCCTGGTTTCGATGTCTCCCGCATAATCTGCGTCGCTGTAACCACACAGATTCAAATTGGTGCCACTTTCAAATCGAATGCCCATATGTATTGTTCCTTTGATGTATTTTAAGATGCGTTTTACCGCATTCACGTGCGCCACTGCCGGTTTTTCAAGATGTCGGCTTGCATTACCAACAGCAAAACTGATGTCTGGTCGTGTGGCCACTCCTAAGTACATCAAACTACCAACTGCCTCACGATACGGAAAAATCGTTTCTTCGTCTGCATAAAAATCTCCAAGATTTTGTGCACTATCCGATGGTGTCGCCACAGCATTACAGTCTGCCATGCCGAAACGATTAAGTACCTTATGTGCATACGCCTGTTGATTTACGTGAATTGAATCGTCCGTTTGCTGTTCAATTTCAAAACCCAAAAATGATCTCACTTCGAACACTTTGACGTCGAATTTTCTTCGCAGGTGTTCAATTACCGGCAAAATTGCATTTTTGTTTTCTGCTGCAATCAAGCCATCGTCGACGTAAATAGCCAGCAATATCATACCTTTTTCTCCATTGTGCACGAACACGCACGGGTCCAATTTACTGGTCACAAAATTGAATTTTTTAATGAACTCCGTAAACTTTTTGTTCCAGCAGCGTGACGCCTATTTTAAGCCATACAAACTCTTGGATAGCTTGCATACTCGTCCGCTGCCATCGTCGTAACCGATTGGTTGATTCATGTAAACGGTTTCTTCCAAATCTCCATTCAAAAATGCTGTCTTTATATCAAACTGTTGTAATTTCATTCGTTTTGACGCTGCCAGTGCCAAAATCACCCGAATTGATGTAAATTTGACCACCGGGCTAAACGTCTCTTGATAATCGATACCATATTCTTGCGTTAATCCCCTCGCTACCAACCGCGCTTTATAGCGGTCAATGCTCCCATCTGAATTCCGCTTCAATTTGAAAACCCAACGATTATCAATCACCTTTTGTTCCTTCGGTGGATTAACCAAATTCCATGTGCGATTTTTGATGAGCGAATCGTACTCTTCGTTCATTGCCTGCTCCCACTGTATGTAATCGCTCGAATGAATAGCTTGTTCGTACGTTCTTGGTTCTTCGTCAATTGCTAACATGGCAATACGATCTGTTGATGCGAAATACGTTAACCGTTCTGCTGGTACAATATTACTTCGATCGCGCAGACGTCGTTCGATAATATTTCCTCTATCGATATCGCATACTGCACCATGATTGGTTGGTTGTTCCGGTATCATTACTGCATCATCAGCATCCAATTCATCATCCATCACGTTAGCTTTTTTATCTGCCCCTTTTTCGTTATTGATGTCCAGTGTGGCCATTGATTCCTCCAAAAGAAAAATCACGTCACGAGCTACCTCGATTTTGTTCGCCATCGGATTCCACACTCGATATAATTTCGAATAATTGTCGAATCCGACAAATATACACTTGACTGCTTTTGGATCCAGCTTCTGTCGCTTCTCCTTTGGAATGTGTACGAAAACCTCAGACCCGAAGATTCGTAAATGCTCGATTTTCGCCTTCTTATCGTACCACAATTCATACGGTGAATGTGTTTCCGAAACAGTGCTCGTTCCAGTTCGATTCAGCACATATACTGCAAAATTTACACCCTCCGCCCAGAATTTGTAATCCATTTGCTTTGAATGAATCATCGTCCGCGCTGACTCCACGATCGTCCGATTATCGCGTTCGACGCAGCCATTCTGCTCCGGCGTGTACGGTACAGTTCGTTGATGTACAATACCAGAATCGTTGAAAAATTTCTTCAACTCCGCATTAACAAACTCAGTCCCGTTGTCTGATCGAAAATAGCGCACCTTGTGTCCATTCTCTTGTTGCATTCGTATCACCGCTTCCTTAACCTTTGCTGCTACCTCCAATTTTTGCTTCAGAAAATATACAAAACGATAATGTGAAAAATCATCTTTAAGAAGTAAAAAATATTTCGAACCACCAATCGAATTCGTTTGCATTGGTCCACAAACATCCGCATAAATGATTTCCTCGTATTTCTTTGATTTTTCCTCACGAAGTTTGTAGCTTCCTCGATGATGCTTTCCATAGACGCACGCTTCGCACGCAAAATCTTCGTCTACAAAATCAATATCGTTGCTTCGTAGAAATTTCTTCACATGTGCGACGTTTTGATGTCCCATACGTTCATGCCATGCACGAAGCGAAATTTTCTTAACAGCCACATTTGCAATGGCTCCATCGACTTCAGATGTTGTCTCACATTTGAATAGCATTTGAAACAACCTTTCGCGTCGAACTCCCACTGCAAAAATGTTTCCATTTTTCAGCAATTTGCAAAGTTTGTTATCCGATTGTAATTGATAACCACGATCCATGGCCTTTCCAGACGAAAATAAATTCACGTGAATTTCCGGTACATACTAACACATCTACCATCCGTCTGCGAATCCATTGATTACCATCAAACGCAAAAAGATTGATGTCACCTCTTCCTTGAGCCATGATCTTTTCGCCATTTCCAATTATTATATGTGACGATGTCCACAAAATTATAAAACCACTCACGTCGATGACACATGTGGTCACTGGCCCCTGAATCCAACACCCAAGAGTCTTTGTCTTCAGTTAATGTTGTGCCATGACACACAAATGCATCTGCCAATGCACTGTCATGCTTTTTGCAGTTGTCCGAACTGTTCTGCTTTTTCTGTGGACAGTCCCGTTTCCAATGACCAGCTTCGCCGCAAGAAAAACACGAACCTTTTAACTTTCCGCTATTATTCGTACCCCTTTGGTTCTTGTTCTGTCCCGACGAATGACCCTTTTTCGAATTAGAATTGCATTTCTTCGAAAAATTCTGTTTGGCCATTAACGCTTCCACATTTTCTATCTGACCCTGCGATTTTAATCGAAGCTCCTCTGCCATTAATCGCGCACGCAAATTTGACATGGTTTGATTTTCCGCACTCGTCGATTCCCAAGCACTGTGGAAATGATTATATTCTGCTGGCAAAGCCATCAAAATTTTTGTCATAACCATCGTATCGGAAATATTCTCCTTTTGATCCTTCAATTGCTGCACAATCTCCATGAGTTTCGAAATACACGTTGCAATATCATCGCCCGGCTCCTTTGTGAAACTGTAATATTTTTGTTGCAAAAATAAAACATTTGACTTCGATGTCTGCTCGTATGTACTTTTCAGCGTCGTCCACATCGAATTTGCCGTATCACAATTCATAATTTGCAGCAATGGCTGTTTCTTGCACGCCGTTGAAATTGCACGTTTCGCTTTGGCATCGTTCTTCTTCCACGCCACGATAGCCGTCCTATAATTTTCATCCCTATTTGACGGTGGGGAATCAGTACCATCTACCACGTCGAATAGTTCACTAGCTTCTAGCACTTGACGCATTTGAAATTTCCACGTCAGCCAGTTGCTTCCGCCTTCCAGTTTTTCAATATTAACTCGATCGCTCTCCATTTTGTTTCTCCCGAATTCACTGTGTCTCAAAGAACCGATTGTCCACTTTCATACA